AAAAAACACCCGTCACCCAGATACAAACGTACCATTCTAGCGCCACCCCTGTAATCCCAACCCAGTGTTCTAGCCGTGACATAAGGATGCTGTGATCAACAGTGTCAAATGCAGCAGTAAGGTCAAGGAGTACCAGGATCACAGACTGACCAGAGTCATTCGCTAGCAGAATGTCATTACAGACCCTTACTAAAGCTGTCTTGGTGCTGTGCAGTTGTTGCATGTGTAACAGTTTTCAAATTAAAATGGATAAATAGAAATGCTTTTCATTTTCAAAATAAAGCTGCATGTTTTGACTCAAATAAAATTAAAAATAAAAATTCCAAACTGCATTTTCATTTTTGTCTTCAAGACTGCTCAGTTTGTAAATTAATAAAATGATTAATAAAAAATGTTTAACATTTAGTTTCCAAAATATGTTCCTGTAAAAAGTGACCAAAATTCATTTTGAAATGTCAAATTTGAAAATTAAAATGAATTAGAAGAAATGCTTTTCATTTTACCTTGCCCCTTGCACAGTGATTGCTGGAAATGGGCACCGGTAACCCCCGTGACCCAAAATGGAAGAAGCGGGTAAAAGATAAGGGATGGATGGATAGATGGATGGCTTTTCATTTTCAAAATAAAGCTCATGTTGTTTTGACTCAAATAAAATTAAATATAAAAATTCCAAACTGCATTTTCATTTTCTTCTCTAAGACTGCTCAATTTGTAAATTAATTATAATGATAAATAAAATAATGCTCAACATTTAATTTTTAAAATATGTCCTTGTAACAAGTGACAAATTCATTTTGGGTGCATGGGTGGCATGCCGGGGCTTCTCCGGGCCTGTGGTGTGGGGCTTTAAGGATGCATTTGTGCGCTGGGCCTGTTGACTCATCGCTACGGCCTACTGGGGGTTTCTGCATTGTGGGTGCTGGGGATCACCCAGGGCTTCCCTTTGCTTCTCTCTCTGGGGGGTGCGGGTGTCACTGTTGGGGGACTACCGAAGTTCCGGGCTTTGGGGCCACTATTGCCCCTTTTCCACCGTCACGGCGCGGGTCGGATATTTCCGGCTTGAAGCGCGTTTGAGGTCTTTCCACTGTTTCTGTGACCGGCTCGCCTCGCTAAATTCTGGCCCGGCTTCTCAAGGGTTCCGAGCGAGCCGCGCCGTGACGTCAGAAACACTGTCGGTCACTGATTGGTCTGGGGGAGGAGTCTGTGGAGTCTTTCCAAACAACCCGATCCACCATTTTTTTCTCTACCGCTTGCCATTAGCGATAACACGAGGAGCGTATCTTTTAGTATTTTGAAGCTATACAACAACAATAATGTCAAAGCCGTGGTCAAATGCAGAAGTGCAGGTGTTGTTGTGCTTGGTGGCCGACGAAAAAAGTCAAAGCGAGCTAGATGGAGGATTGGAGGGTGGTTTGGACACGGCCGCTGCTCTACTTGAACCATTTATAGAAGATGGTGAGTGTTTTCTAACTTTAAACATATTTTAAGTTACTCATCCCATCGGTTCTGAACATATTTTTAACTAACAAAAGAGGCTGACGCCATAATAGTACAACGTCGGTGCTACGACGCTAAGCTAATTTGCATAAATGCTAACTGTCCTCCGGTCCCGTTTCTCACTGTATTTTATCCAGAACGTCTTTCAGCGTGTGACAGTTCATCTCTAAACTCCACATTAAACCCTCCAAGCCTCCCGACTCCTGCTCCTGCTCCTGCTCCATCAGAGGAGTCTACACCTGACAGAGCTCCATCACAGCCCAGCTGCACCTCACAGAGCAGCACAACGCTGCAGCTTCTGTGCTCGGTAAGAACAGATGCAACTGTTCCACATCACTTTATTTGTGCCGATGAGGACTTGATTTATTTTATTTTTAAAGTAAAAAACTAAAATGTTGAATAAATACTGAATTGGGATGAAATTATGTACACAGGGTCCCAGTTACAGACAACAAAATGTAAAAGAAAAACAGTAATAAGATCGAAGATATGAATTAATAAAAATATCAACTAAAAAACATCTACTAATAAAACACTAAGCACTAATAGCAGTAAACAATCAAAACAATACGTCAAACAGCAACATGAACTTGAGTTTGTGCAGCCTTATGAATATATAACACTGACGAATCACATCATGTTGCTGCTGATCTGTTTCATGTTGCTGTGTTCATTCGTGCTCGTCTGTTCACACAGACTCAAGTCCGTGCTGCTGTTCTGCGTATTGTGTTTAATGTTTTTATGCTATTAGAGCTTATCATATTTTTAGTTGATGTTTTTATTAGTTCATATCTTAGATCTTATTACTGTTTTTCTTTTATATTTTATTGTTGGATGTAACTGGGACCCTGTGAACATAATTTTGATCCACCACATGTACCACATGTGGTGCGAATGACAAAGAATATCTGCATCTGTATAATACTTTCTGATTCATATATCCATTATTATCATTTTCATTATTTTTTAACCAATTTATTTTTCATTTTCTTATTTGATCAGTTTATTATTATTAATATATCTATTATAGCTGTTAGCAGCACCTTTCTTTGTTTCATGCATTTATTCAAAAACAGTATGTAGCTTGAATTAACCACCTGTTTCTTCTTTCTAGTGAAGAGAAAGAGAAAAGAGTCCAGTAAAGAAAAGTCTTATTTCATCACTGAATGAACATGAAGAACTGAAGCGGACACAGCAGGAACAACACTTGTGTCTTCTTCTGGATGAAGCCCGTGAGACGAGGGACACACAGATACACAATCATTAGTTGGACGCAGTAGTTTTTATTTTTCTACATTTTTCACTTCTTACTTTTCATATTAAACAATTTTTTTCTTAAGTGGTGTCCTTGAACATTAAATTTCCTAAACAAATTTTACAATGTTAAGTTCATATAGTGTTTGTTTAAATTCATACTGGAAGTTGAGAAGAATTTCCAATTGCATTTGATCTTTAATGAATCCTAAGAAAAGATTACTAGAATCTGCTCAACTGTTATTATGTTATCATTTTTTGGTTCTAGGATGAAGTGACACAAAAACAGTCAAAAATTCAGAAAGGACAGTTATCAATTATCAGTCATCAGTGATCTTTTAGCAGTTATCGTTTATCGTCCGTACAACTGTGGCCCGAGAGATTCAGCTGAAAGTCCTGGTGCACCTTTTATTTGAACCTGCAGAGATTTGAACAGCTGATCTGAAGCAAACAGGCAGGAGTTCACCTGAACTGACCACTCCTGCTGTTTGATGGTCTCCTCCTTCGCCACCCGTCCATCCATCCATCCATCCATCCATCCATCCTCTTCTGCTTCAGGGTTGTGGGAGCAGCATCTTCACCAGGGAGGCACAGACATAAACAGCCTCCTCTTCAGCTCTTCTAGGACCCCATGGTGTTCACAGACCAACTGACTATTTATTAATTAATATCCTGATGCTGCTCAATAATCCAGGTAGAAAAATCTAAAAAGTTAAGTCTGGTCCTCTGGACATTCACAAAACAAACAATACAGTTTATAATAAATAAACTAAATGTTTTTTGTTAGTTTTGTTTTTTGAATGTCTAGAGGACCAGACTTTTTTAGATTAATAAGTAATAAATTTATGTTTTAATTTAATGAAAGACAAATCTTTAAAATTCAAGGACAAAATTTAATCTAATTGTTTTCAAGTCTGTATCTTATTGTAAAAGCAGTTTCAAAGATTACAGCACAGTGTGATGTTTTGCAATTTTAACATGAACCTTGTGCATATCTGTAAATAATAAAAGTGAAGATATTTTTAATACATCTTTATTGTAAAAATCTATACTAAAATGAAAAACACATGGGTTTAAAGCAGCAGGAAGGCAGTAAGGTAGGATTATGAATCAGGTTTATAAGTTACAGCTCATGAGGTACTCCATTAGAGCATGACATCTCTTCCAAAACATCTTGTGACAAAACCTTCAGGGTGTTCTTCTTCGAATACGTTTAGTGGTGGCTAGTAAGTAGCTTAAGGGAGCACTACCGCCACCAGGTGGTAAGACCAGTTGGATTCTAGTCCCCGCCTACAGAGCCAGTCCAGAAATGTACATGGAAACACAACAGACCCGAACCGATCTGAACCAACCCGAACTGATCTGATCCGCTCTGTGACGGTGGAAAAGGGGCATATGTGTCTGTGGTTCCGGTCTTCCCTGTGTTACCTTTGTGTCCTGTGGGGACGGGTTTATGAGTCCCCACATCAACTATTGAACATTTTTATGGATAAACCTTATAGTGACATCATGCTCACACATGTGTTTAGATTCAGGTGTTTATCAGATACACACTCAGTTGGGTTGTGGTGGCCATCAAATATATATTGTATTACCATGTACTGTATAAAATACTTTCTAATGATGTTATAACTATCATTATATAAGTTGTTTGTTGTGTTTTTTTTTCTCTTTCCGCAGGTCTAGTGGCAGACTTCAATGATGCTGATTTTTGTTCTCTTTATCCCTCTCTCTCTCTCCTCTATTCCTATCTCCTTTACATTTTAACTCTTCTCTCACTTTTCTGCTTTATCATCTTCTGTTTTCTGTCCCCGTGTCCATTACATCTGAAACAAACCCAAAGCATATTCTAATCAAATTTAATTTATATATCAAGTGGAGCATTAAGGCCAGCCATAATGCTCTGCTTGTGAAAGTAAATCTGTTGGGCATCACTTTGACACTCAGACAATAATTATAAGTGTCACAATGCCGGACAGGACAAAGGGAAAAAAAAAAAAAGAAAGAGACTGAGCTGAATACAGCACCTCAGACTGAGGAAGTCTTTCGGATGAGAGACAAAACGTTTCTACATTTTTTTGCTTTGTTTTTTTTTTTGTTTGTTTTTTTGGAATGTCCAGAGGACCAGATTGAACTTTTTTGGATGTTCCTATGTAAAGACAAAATAAAATATTGTTTAAAAATAATAATAATCAAGTTCAGAATGTTTGGCTTATTTTTTTTCTCTCGACTTTGATGTTGGTTTTTAGGACCTCTTCAGAAAACAAAAAGGTTACCTGGATGAGGAGCTGGACTTCAGGAAGCAGTCGATGGACCAGGCTCATAAGGTCAGTGTTAACACCTGAGTAGGTAAAAAGACATCCTCAGAAAAATCTGGGAAAGAAAAAGAGACAAAAACGTTGGTTACGTACTGTAACCCCAGATTCTATGAATATAGGCGTAGCCCTTTAAGAGCTGTCGCTTAGTGGGTTTATCCCGTTATGCAGAGCATAAGCACTGAAAAAAATTAGTCCACGCCCACCTGCTGTGTGGGCCCCACCCGGTCCGTATAAATTACGTTAAGAGCGGGAAATCGGCTCCCAAAATAGCTTTTTCTTCAGCCGTTTAGGAGCCAGTGAGGCCCGACGCTTAAAGGGCTACGCCTATATTCATAGAATCTGGGGTTACAGTACATAACCAACGTTCTATGTCATATAGGCTTCGCCCTTTAAGAGCTGTCGCTTAGTGGGTTAAGGGCAAAGCGGATGTGGTCCTCGCCTCACTGGGTCCATTCAAACACAGTAAGAAATGGAAGCTTGCCCAAAAAACGTCTTGTCACTCAGCTCCCCATGTGCATAACTACGCATCGCGTAATTGTGTGCCATGCACAGACGCATGTTGTGCAACTATGCGTTCTGACAAAGCATGAATGCCCCGGAAAAAAACTTTCAACGGGGAAGATATTGAAAAGAGGAGGGGGGGGGGGGGGGGCATGAAGCAACTGATTCATGATTGAACAGTATAAACAGATTAATATCAATGAACTGATTATTGAACAAATGAACTGATTGGTAACAATAGTCATGAACTGATTAGTGACAATAGAACCAAAATCACAGACACAACATGTGGCTGATAACAACATCTCACACTGTAATGCATGCAGACAGATGTGAGTTTAAACAGAGTTCCATGAGAACAACAATATTCATTCTGTTAGAGCACTAAGGACAGAATGTGTCAT